TTTAACTAAAATATTGATAGTGGGCTGGCATGGTGGCTCATGCCTGTAAGGCTTGGAAGGCTAAGGTGGGAGAATTGCTTGAGCTCAGGAGTTTGAGATAAGCTTGGGCAATGTAATGAGACCTCATCTCTGCTAAAAATAATTTTTAAAAGCTTAGCTGGCATGGTGGTGCACACCTGTAGTCTTAGCTACCTGAGAAGCTGAGGCAGGAGGATCACTTGAGCCCAGGTGATCAAGGCTGGGTGGAGCTATGATTGCGCCACTGTACTCCAGCCTGGGTGACCAAGCAAGATACTCTCAAAAAAAAAAAAAAATTGATAGTAGAAGCATTGCACTATTTAAAAGCTACTCACTCTGCAATGGGCATAAGTCAATGTATGCAAACACATTTGTTGGTTGATTTGGGGAACAGGCCGACAGCAGGATGGTTTGGGATCCTGAACAGGGTTGGGAGATGAGCCTGAGGGTAACAAATTGCTGTAAGTCCTATAATTCTAAATTCCTATAATTGAGAAAGACAGTCTTCTCCATTTGGCTACTTTGGACTAATCTGATTTGATTTATCCGTAACTGTCCCAGGTCAAAAAGAAAACCTGCACTGAAGAATTTCTGTGTTATATGAGCTAGTCAGCCCAATCACTTGTGATGGATGAAGATTTCCTGTGTTTGTTTTTAACAGGCCTGTCTTGGTTTAAAAAGTACACCTCTTTCTTCAAAGGATTTGTTAATCAGGGTAGATTGCAGGCATTGAGAACAAGCTCATTTATTCAGGGTTCCAGAAGAATGCACTAGCTGGGTGTGTAGGCCCTAGGCTTAGCCTGCCTAGATTGGAGCCTGGTTCTGCAGCCTGACGGTGGTGTAGCCATGGGCCACGTTGGCAGCCACCAACCACCCTAGGAAGTGGCCACTATCATCATCCCCATTTTATAGATGAGAAGCTGAGCCACAGGGAGGTTATATGCCTTGCACTTTATTATCTAATATCTGGCACAGAGTAAACCCTCAATACAAATCGGCTATTAGAATGTTCACAGGTCAAAATTTGGAAGCTGTAAAGGTTACCTTTTTAAGGGCGCTTTTCTTTTTTTTTTTTTTTTTCCACCTAGGTACAGGTGAGCTAAGGCCGAAAAACGGCATTAGCCTTTAAGGGCGCTTTTCTAATGTCATCTGGGAGACAAACTCGGTGTTACCCTGGCATTCAAGGCCTTCCACACTGTGGTTCAGATATTGTGAAGCGATGGGTCCTACATTCTCATCTGGGGAGCCCAGGAAAGGTTTGCTCTGTATAGTATGGGCTCCATTCTCATGAGCTATTTGCTGAAAGTTTGTTAGCTCCATGTGGCACCCTACCCTAAGCCAGGAATGGGGTTACCATCTTGAAGTTTATTATCTGGTGCCACTACCAGAGAGCTCTGCCCTGTGGTCTTTAATGTTTATCTGTAAGCACATGCAACCATTTGGAGGATTATCTTGTTTACTGGCTTTTGTAGGGCAAAGGCTGACACCTTTGGTCTTTTTTGTTTCCTGACTAACAGCAGACCTCGTCCTTCGAGATTTCAGTTGGGTTTTCCTCACCGCCAATATTAACGTATTCCACAGAAGGGAGGAGATCCAGATTTTAATCAAAAAACCATTCTACTTTCATTTACATGAAAAGCTCCAAAATGATGCTGGAGGACTCTTTTCCTTTTCTCTAGAATTTTAAAAAGCAAAGGTCTGATTTATTTCCAATGCTGCATTACAAATATTTCATTATTATTTTTAAAAAGAAAATACAACAGCTTCGGGACAAGAAATTCAGATGGTGCTTAGGACAAGACTCAATCAACGGGAAATTTGTTTCTCATATAAAGATCATTATTTGTTTCTCTAAACACAGGATCATTACTGTTTTAAAGCCAGTTCCATCAAAGTGCAATTTATATTAATACTATCCATTTGTGCCTTATGTAAAACATTTTCTTTGCATCCTACTGTGGTAGTTTGTGGCTGAAATAGCAAATTTTATGGGGATTAAGAAAAACTAATTCAAGTACATGCCAAATAATTTCAGAGGAAAAATGGAGACTGAAGAAGGGAAGGCCACATAAAGTATATAAACAAATCACATTCCAAGTGAGGGTGTTTGGGTTCATTCAATATCACATTTGTCTTCCCGTCTCTTGGGTTTCTCCATTTATGTTATTTTATTAAAACTCCAATTTACCTACTTCACAGTATTTTTGGGGAAGAGTCTGACAGGAAAGTTGGTTAATGAGACGCCTTGCTAAATAGAGTCTAAATAATGGGCGACTGTGAGTTTAAAGCGATAATGGAATGGAGAATTTCTTTGACAACATTGTAAACCACGATAGGAAAGTGGGGCACATGATGGTATCACTATAAGTGAGTGTGTATTTGTATACACACAATGACAGTTTTATTCTTTAACGTTTATTCTATGATGTCCTATTTCCCCCCAACTGATCCGTGCGCGGTGACTCTCCCTCTCTAAGTGAGCCCCTCGTCCCTTTAATATAGGTGCTAAGGAATCTACAGTGCAGGCTCAGCTGTGCCTGGCCCTTGGCAGCTGCAGCCACGTCTGACAGTGCCAGTATTAGCCCCACCTCCGCTAGGGGGTAGGAAGTCGAAACCAGCAGTTCTCAAAGTGTGGCCCTGGGACCAGCAACACAGGCATTTCCCAGATGTGGTAGAAATACAAATCCTCAGGCCTTGACCAAGATCTACTGGATGAGAAACTTGGGCTAGGGTTTAGCAATCTGGGTTTTAATGAGCCCTCTATGCAGTTCTGATGTTCATTCAAGTTTGAGAGCCATGGGTCTTAACTTACTCTGCCCTGTACCTGTCTGTCCTGGGTGCCCACAAATCCATGAACTTCAGTTTTTCCCCTTTAGTTTTCTCATGAATGGGTCTCTGGTCTCTCTGACTGGGTTTCCACCCTGACTTCAGAGTTACACTCTAGTTCCCAGCTGAGATGATCACTGTGCTCACTAGACTGGAACCCTGTCAGCTCAATTCCCTAAATACATCACAGTCCTGCCTTTAACCATCTCCCTCTTGTCTGGTGGGCAAGTCTGGCACTGAATTGACTGGGCCATTTGGAGTCAGTTTCCACTGGGGCATCTCCATGATGTGGCCGCCCCATGCTGTCCTCCCTGGCAGGCCACAGTGACACTGGCCGGGCTACCAGGTGCTTCACCCTGGGACACCGTGGTTCATATCAGTATCCTTCCTTTCTTACTGGGCCTTGTCCTATAATCTGGATAACTGTCCTAATCTGTTTAAAGCCCCACTATCATACTCCCCTCTTCCTGCTGAACCAGATATCAAGGGGCTGCATAAGTTATGACACCTATTTGAAGTCAGCAGTTGCCTTAGGAAAACACTGTAAGAGGGCTAGGTAAATACTTTAGGATAAAGCATGTTACTGATTTTGGGACAACTTTTTGGGGGTGTTAAAAAAAGAAATAATAGAAAACAAGTTAAATTTTATGACTTTAAGGAAATGCTGACATCACTAATTTATGTTCTGAATATTTTAACTTACCGGGTAGGGTATTCAGTACTTGTGTTTTGTGGAGACCACATCCTTTAACTTGGTTTCCAAGCCCTAATTTTCCATCCAACAATCTACTTACTGAATTTTATTTTCCAGAAACCTAAACACACCACCGTCTTACTAGCAGTTCACAGGAGACCCAGTGCCATAGAGTTTAATGGAATCTGTGTACTCATCCATGGGAACCTATAGGTAACCACCACTGTGAAAGAAATTGCAAGTCACATTTACGTGCTTACAAAGTAATTCAGGAAGCATTTCAAAACACTCTCTATTCACCTTTAGTCAAAGCCTTTTTATGTGTTTAGCAATATTCACAGTACTTCAAGAAGTCCTTTTTTCCTTGAATTTGGTTTAATGCATAGCCAGTTGGCCTGGTTTAAGCATAAGCTTTCTTATACTAAACTTGTGAGATCTGCAGTAAATGGTTAATGAAAGGGTTTACATTTGTGGCCACATCCATTTAACTTCTCATGAATTATGTACTCAGTCCTACGATGTGCCAGGCGCTGTACTAGGCGCTGTAATAACAAACTCTTGACGATAAGAATTTTCTTGGAAGTCCTTTTGCAGTCAGATGGATCTTTACGTGTTGAATGCAGTAGGTATAAATTTGTCTTATAGATAATGGGTAGGAACCAGGAAGTGACTGTATGATCATCAAAATGTATAGATTTGAGAAATAAAATGTGATTTACCTAAAGCACTGTTGTTATCTTCTGGGATATGAAAATGAGGACTCAGGTCACAAGAACATTACATAAAGACAGCCACACTTTAAAATAGATTTACCCATTTTCACAATTGGCACCAGCTACCCATTTTTGTCAAATCTTCTGTTTCTCCCATACTTCAGCAATCATCATCCAGAACTGCTTACTGGAGGGCCACTGACTGAAGCCTTTGCCCCCCTTTCCTGTATGGAAGTGTCTACCTTGTTTCTGTAGCATCCCTCTGGCTAAGCATATGCCTCACTAAACAAGTATGTTTAAGCATTTCCTATGTCCCTGTTTCTGTTGTAAGTGCTGTGAGGAATTAAAAACAAAATAAATTCACTTTTTCCTTGGTATTATAGCTTTTTCTGTATCAATCCTACTGGATTGTATCTTGAGGACAAGACCTGTGTCTTATTTTTATGAACTCCATAGTATATTGCATTGTACTGAATACAGATTGTTGAATGGAAGAATTGATAGATGAATAAATAAATTTCTAGGGATGGACTACAAACAGACATCATTCTAGGATTTGGAAGCCTCCTGGAAAAGTCAGTACAGTTGGTACGAGGTCATATTGTTTCAACTCATGAGTGAAGGTCAACTTGACTGCCAGGAAAGTTAGGGTAGAGACCTGCCATTATACTATTAAGTAAGCAATACTAGAAACTGAGTAGCACAGCCATGCCTCATAATGATTTCCTTTGCTAGATGGTGCCACTCACCTGATCTGAAGCCAAGTCAGCATGGGGGTTGTTCCTCCTCCAAATATCCAGACAGTGAAGAACACGAGGAGCAGCGTGGTGGTAAACATCATTTGCTTGGGCTGAGATTCTGTGTTCCGAATAGCTAAGGCAAATGCAATCGCTCCTCGTAAACCTTGCAGGAAAAGCCAAAGGAGAAAATAAGCACCTTGCAGATGTCTTTTTCATTTCAATGGATTTGTCTTTACAATTTGCTGACACAGTTTTTTAAATTAAGCTTTTTATTTTGAGTTAATTGTAGATTCATAAAGAGTTGTAAGAAATAATACAGAAAGACAATGTACACTACATTGGGTTTCCCCTCAATGATGTCATGTAAAACTATAGCTCAATATCTCAACCAGAATATTGACATTGATCCAATCAAGATAAAGAACATTTCTGGCTGGGTGTAGTGGCTTACACTTGTAATCTCAGCACTTTGGGAAGTTGAAGTGGGACAATCACATGAAGTCAGGCATTCGAGACCAGCCTGGGCAACAAAGCAAGACCCTGTCTCTACAAAAAATTTTTTTAAAATTAGCAAGCCATGGTGGCATGTGTCTTTAGTCCCAGCTACTTGAAAGAATCACTTGATCCCAGAAGTTCAAGGCTGCAGTGAGTTAGGATTATGCCATCAATCTGGGTGAGAGAGTAAGACCCTGGCTCTAAAGAGAGAGAGAGAGAGAGAGAGAGAGAGAGGTTGATTTCCATCACCACAAGGATCCTTTACATTGCCCTTTTATAACCACACCTACTTCCCTCCCACACACTCCTTCCTTAATTCCTAACAACCAATAATCTATTCTCTGTTACGATAATTTTGTCATTTCCAGAATGTTATATAAATGGAACCATGCAGTATATACTCTTTTAAAATTGTCTTTTATTTTTTAACCCAGCATAATTGGCTGGATAATCATTCAGGTTGCTGAATTACTGATAGTTGTTCCTTTTTATTACTGAGTAATATTCCACAGTATGGATGTTCCACAGTTTGTTTAACCATCCGTCTGTTGAAGGGTATCTGAGTTGTTTTCAGTTTTTGGCTCTTACAAGTCAGGATGCTAAGATTTACACATAGATTATTGTGTGAACATAAGTTTCCATTTCCCTGAGATATATGCCCAGGAGTATAATCACTAGACAGTATAGTATTTGCATATTTAGGTTTTTAAAAAATCACTCAATTGTTTTTTAGAGTGGCTACATTTTACATTCCTACCAGCAATTTAGAAGTCATTCAATTTCTCTGCCTCCTTGGCAGATTTGGTGTTGCCACTATTTTTCATTTTAGTCATTCTGATAAGTATGTGGTGGTAGTTTGTTGTGGTTTTAATTTGCATTTTCCTAACAGCAAAATGGTATCGAGCATTTTTAAATGTATTTATTTGTTATCTATATGCCCTCTTGGGTGAAATGGCTTTTCATGTCTTTTTCTCATTTTAAAAAATTGGATTGTTGGCTGGGTGTGGTGCCTCATGCCTGTAATCCCAGCACTTTGGGAGGTGGAGGTGGATGGATCACCTGAGGTTAGGAGTTCAAGATCAGCCTGGCCAATATGGTAAAACCCCATCTCTGCTAAAAACAAAACAAAAGAAAACAAACATTAGCTGGGCATGGTGGCTCACATCTATAGTCCCAGCTACTTGGGAGGCTGAGGCAGGAGAATCGCTTTAACCTGGGAGGCGGAGGCTGCAATGAGCTGAGATTGTGCCATTGCACTCCAACCTGGGCGACAGGGTGAGACTCCGTCTCAAAAAAAACAAAAGGATTGTTGAATTTTTTATTGTTGAGTTTTGAGAGTTCTCAATAATTCTACATAATAGTCCTTTGTTGGATGTATGGTTTGTAAATATTTCACAGAGAAAAAGGTTTTTAATTTTCATAAGGTCTAATTTATTGATTTTGCTTTTTATAAATTGTGCTTTTGGAGTCATGTCTGAAAGTTCTTTGTCTAGCTCTAGATCCCAAAGGTTTTCCTGTATTTTTTTCTAAAAGTGTTAGAGTTTTGCATTAAGTTCATGATCACTTTGATTGAATTTCTGTATAAGGTGAGAGGTTTAAGTTTAGGTTCATTTATTCACCTATGGATATTAAATTGCTTCATTGAATTGCTTTTGGAACTCCATTAAAAACCAGCTGGGTATATTTGTGTGGGTCTATTTCTCAGTTCTCTACTTTGTTCCATTGATCTATGTGTCTGTCCTTCCATAGCACATTGTCTTAATTATTGCGGCAATATAATAAGCCTTAACATTGGGTAGAGTGATTCTGCCCACCTTATTTTTTGTTTTCAAAATTGTTTTAGGTATTCTAGTTATTTTGGCTTCCCATAAAATTTTAGAATATTATTGGCTGTATATACAAAAAAAACTTTCTGGGAACAATTACTTTTTAAAAATCAAATGTGTTAGACAACAAAGAAAATTAAGCTTATGGACCACTGAAAATTAAATGACATTTAAAATTACTCCAGGTTGATATATAGTTTTACAGAATCTATAATCTACACTAGTACATTAAAATCTGTTTTTTCTTTTGTAATAATATGTTAATTGAATTTTTATGAATCCATATTAAATATATTTGCAAGAGGTATTAAAGATGGAGGACCGGGCGCGGTGGCTCAAGCCTGTAATCCCAGCATTTTGGGAGGCCAAAGTGGGCAGATCATGAGGTGACGAGTTCAAGGCTATGTTACCAGCCTGGCCAACATGGTAAAACTCCATTTCTACTAAAAATACAAAAATTAGCAGGGCTTGGGGACGCTTGCCTGTGGTCCCAGCTATTGGAGAGGCTGAGGCAGGAGAACAGTTTGAACCCAGGAGGCGGAGGTTTCAGTGAACCAAGAGTGTGCCACTGCACTCCAGCCTGGGAGATAGAGTGAGACTTCATCTGAGAAAATAAAAAAGATGAAATACTAGAACTTGAAATCAAAGTGTGATGACACTAATAAAAATAGAAATGTGGACTTGGAAGAAGAGTAAATAAAAGCACAACTAGTAAAAAAAAAGGAGATAAAATGGAATGTCTCTCTTGGGTAACACATGACGTGCAAGACATTTATAGTCCTTGTTATACTGTGTAACAGGACAAATAAAGATTTATAATGACAGTGAGTATAAGCCAAAGGGGTAATGATTTGGTTATTTTTATAGAAAGGTTTAAATCATAGATATAAAATTTCAGTGATCCGCATTTTATAATATTTATTATAGCATCTAGTTTTCTACATTTCTAAATCTTTATTCGTTCATTTAAGGAATTTTAAAAAGTAGATACAGGGCAGAATGAGGAAAGCTATAACCATCCTGGTTTTCGTTCCTAGGTTCTCAGACTATAATGTTCCTTTCTCATCTCCATGCTGAGACTATTCAAAAGACAAGTGGCATAACACAAGATCCACAGGATTCGACTAGAGACGCTTAATAATGTTTTGCCTGAAACAAGGAAATCTCGGAAAGAGAGAAGAACATGCACTCTGATTATAAAATACCTTCAAGGAACAAAATGTAATGGAGGAAGGAAATTATTCTAAATCTCCATGTAGACATGGAAATGGCCTATAGATAAGAAAGATAACATTTGAAGTAGATATTAACAAGAAAGTTCTTGCATATCAGAAATGCCGAACACTTGAGATGGCTGTGCTCAAGAAGAAAAGTGCCCCACCAGAGGTGTTCATGCATTCACACCCCACTGGGGATAAGAGTGAAAATATTAATAACCCTTAATACTGGTAACTATTTTAATAACGCTTTCACCAGGAAATACAATGGTGTCATTAGGGAATGAGAACTCAAGGAAACAATCTTGCAATAGATGTCTATATCTGAGGAGAGAATTTATAGGTCAAGGTAAAGCTCGTAGGACTGTTTCTTCATAGTACAAGATTGGAGATAGAAAGTGAACTTTCTGGCTAGGCACAGTGGCTCACGCCTGCAATCCCAGCACTTTGGGAGGCTGAGGCAGGTGGATCACCTGAGGTCAGGAGTTCGAGACCAGCTTGGCCAACACGGTGAAACCCCATCTCTACTAAAATTAGCTGGGTGTAATAGTGGGTGCCTGTAGTCCCAGCTACTAGGGAGGCTGAGGCAGGAGAATCCCTTGAACCTGGGAGGTGGAGGTTGAAGTGAGTTGAGATTGCGCCATTGCACTCCAACCTGGGCAAGAAGAGTGAAACTCCATCCCCTCTGAAAAAAAGAAGGGAACTTTCCAATTTCGCCTTTCCTCAAGCTCATAGTGATAGAAATGTCCGGAAAGCAGCACCATGGCAAAGAACGTAATGTTAGACATATTAGACAATGAGTTGCTAAGTATTAATAGTTTTCATTGATATAAATATTTGTAGTTTTTTTTTAACTTTGTGTCTTTGTGACAAAGATGAGAAACTAGAATTAAAATTAAAACTTACAAAACATGCCTACTATAAACTCTTTCATGCTAGATATTAAAGGCAAGGAGGTAAGCAATCATTAATCTTACTAAGAATGTTTAATAATGTATTGTTATTATGTTAAACTAGGGTAAGTATGCTCTTAAATCTAAATTGCCTATACATGAGCAGTTCTTGGTTTAAAAATATACTCAAAGATATGTGTTGTGCTGACTTCTGAAAAGATCTATATCTATATATAAAACACCCTATATTATAGGAGATGCAATGTAGAGATTCCAGAAACGAGAAAGTACAGCCACTATCTCGTGGCAGGTTGAGAAACATTGTTAATTGGGGCCAAAGCTCAAGATGTTGAAAAGAGGATGCCTCCCAATGTTATAACTACCTAAAAAAACATAGATACAGGGTGTTTTTAGAGATTGGATCATCTGTCCACAGCCCTGGTCACAGGTGGAATGTACAGCACACGCCACATGTGAGTCGGCACTGTGGCACTGGAAGCACGGGGCTGAGAATGGTGAGAATGGTGAGGCTGCCAGGTGGACAAAGTGAAGCTAATGTGGAACTCCAGACGAGGTGGACTATTGTCTATGTCCTACTCATGCTTTATGACTCTGAAGTTACTTAACACACATTGGAGCCTAGGTAAATGTGAACTCAATGCTTTATTCACTGCTTCATTTAATGCATATATATTGATTACCTCCTTTGTGGAGGCTCTGGACATACTGATC